ATTACTTTAATTCGTAATTCTATAACACATTAGACAATAGGAGTAACATCAAATTATTTAAAATGTGTAATGCTAATAGACTAGGAAGAGTTTAAAATGGATCTCTCAAATTATTGTTGTGAGCTACTCTAATTCAAGAATACGTCTACTCTCTTACAAAGCATTTCTGTACACAATACACATATTTTCTATCATTACAGTTAATTACAGATATAGCAAAACTGAGGCAAATCTTACAGAGCCAGCCTTGTAAATTTGCTGCTCATGCATTCTACCAAGATAATAACCAGGCCTAGATAGGTGGCAGCAGTCAGTCAAATTTTATTGATCTCAAAAAACTAGTCAGGGCCTATGCAGGAGCTATATGGAAGACTATCAGATAAGCCCAGGACTGTAGGCTAGACTCGGAAATTAAAAAAAAAAAAAGCTTCAACAGCAGTGAAAAACCACTTCCATTACCAAATGGCAAACCACTTCCTTACTATTACTTATTGTCAAGAAAATTATATGGACATGTCCATGAACTCACCAGAAATCAAACTTGACTTATAGGAAATGTTACCTTAACTATAATAGTTTAGCAGGACAACACATTTACTATAAGGACTTCCAGAAAAAACCACTGACTTTTTTTAAACCTTGTACCTTATGACTCATACTTTACGACATAGCCTCAGTTACATTCTCAGGTATACATCTTAAGTGAAAAATAATCATTTAGGAATCTAAACATTCAAAGGAGTAGGAGAGTTTATTTAGCTAAAATAATTCCATAATAACAAAATTAGAGCTAGTGTTTAAAAGCCAATTGTACAGATGTGAAAATGTAACCTACTAACAGCTAGTTTTAAAGAAGCATGTTGAACAGAGATGAAATATTTATTCCCATTTTACATGTATAGCTTAAATGACTTGCATGTTTTATGCAGTAAATTATCTTTTGGAAATCACATACTTTGATCAAGATAACACTTTCTCTTAAAGCCAAACAACTGAAAATGTGTTGAGATCATTCAGAGGTAAATGGTCCCTAAACTTCTCAGAATTCTATTTAATTAGTTCTTTCCAAAGGTGAGCCCTAAAACTATCTTAGCCCAAATTTAATTTTTACAGACATTTAATCTTCAAGCTGAGCCAAAACGTATTAAGTCACAATCAAGCTCAACTAACTTCAAAAGGCAATGTTCTCCAGTTAGCTTGCTTGGAATGACACAGATTCTTAATAGTTCAAATCTGATGAATTTACAAATATTTTCCCATATCTTTAAGTATTATCTATGAACTAATGTTTCCACAATAAAAAAAAACAAACTGAAATTGTGATTGGAACACATTGCTTCCCAGTGACATGCACAGAAACATATTACATTTAACAAAATGTCAAAGCGAACAGGATGGAAGCTATACTGTTTGACTTTCATTGTAAAAATTCATATATGCTTTGTATTAAGTTTTGTTGTTAGGACATCATTTATTCAAGGTTAAAGATATAACATTAGCATGAAACAGAGCCAAGAAATAGCAAAAATAAATCTAAAATTTCATTTTTGTAATGTTAACTATACATTCTGTGAATTTACAAACACTTGTTTAAAAAAAATTGAAGCATCATAAATAACTATTTAAAAGGCAACAGTTTCCACAGAAATCTGCCACTAATGTCATTAGCAGCATCTCATTAATGCTGCTTCAGATGTTGTGGGGTCCTTAACAAAGATCCTCTTAATACTTGCTACTTTTTCCCAGCTTCTATCATTTGCCCTCCCCTTCTAGTGAAAAATGTTGCTTTATCTTTTTCTTGTGATAACAAGAAAAGAAGTGACAATGAAGGAATGCTGGTTCAACAGGTGCTCCCAAACAATAGCCCTGAAAGAGGTGCATCAAAATGTGGTGGCTACATGGAGGTTTTTCTAATTCAGACAAGGTTGAGCTTCTCAGTATAAATTATACAGAGCATGGAAATATAAAAGTACCTTGAATAAAATATAAAATCCCAAAGACTATATGCTGTGGAGAATGCTATTCAGACTAATGCAGTTATTGTCTAAACTACAGAAAACGATCTTTAAATTAATACGATTATCAATCTTTAAAGTAACTCTAAGCGAATTTTGAATTATAGAAAGAAACGTTTCACATCTGTCATGTGGAGATTGAGCTAACTGGACAGTGCAAAGAGAAGGGGAAGACAGGAAGCCAAACGTGTTGGACCACAATTATGATGATCTCCGGCCAGTGTTGCCGCTGATCTTGACAACTGCAAGAGACGGGACAGATCAACTCCAAGGTTGTGTTGCAACACGTGCAAGCAAAACTCCGAAAGTTTAGACAAATGGAAAAAGAAACACCAACTGACACTTTATATAAGGCAGAAGACGTACCCAAAACCAACGACGTCCTAAAACGAACTTGCCTGTCTGGGGCTCCTACAAAGCAGAAAGCGGCTGCTTCCAACCCCAAGACGAGTCACCACTAGTCACCACTTCTCTCTGGGCGAGTGACACACATCCATACACACCATTTTTTAAAAAGAAATATTATTCATCGAGGTCGCTCGCACACGCCAGCGCGTCCTCCCATAATTAACTTCGAGAGAAATCATTTTGTGGGCTTCTAGGGCGTGAGACCCAAGACATGAGACCTCTTGAAACAAGGTGGACACCCACCCGCCCCCTTCAAGTCACGACCCGCTCTTACAAATACGAAATGGAGAGGAAAATAAAAGCTCTCCGAGAACCCAGAAACCGTACCGCGCCCGAGCCAGCATTCAGGGCTTGTCTTCGCTTGCAAATCCGGCCAACGTGCTGTCTCCGCTCCCTTCTAAAGCCTCGGGTTTTCCCTCCGGAGGAGCGCAGCAGTCGCTCGCAACCGCATCCGCGAGACAGCCTCCAACTCGGCGCACGAGGCGTTCCGCAGGTTGTCTTTCTCGGCGGCAGCGGCGGCGGCGGCGGCGGCGGCCTTAGCTCGGTCGCTCGCGCCCGGACCCGCGCTCGCTCTCGTCACCTCCACGGTTGGCGTTTGAAAAGCGCAAAGCCGGTTTCTGAGGAGGGGGGGCTGTTCCACCGCGAGCTGTTGGTCCCGCCTCCGGATCTCTCCCGAACCAATGAAAACCGGGTTGTCCGACTCAGCCGGCTCCCCCTCCCGGCTGTTCTCAGGTCGCTTTTTCCTTTGAGTGGCAAGAATGCGTGCAAATCGGTTACCCGAATGCCGCGAATGGGCGGGCGAGAAACAAGGGGCGGGCCGAAGAGGGGAGGTAAGCAATGGTCTACCCGAGCGAAGACGGTTAGTCTTGGATAGGCGAGGTCATTGAGGTAATTAGGTGGCCTTGTTGTTCAGCTCTAAATGGGAAGTCGGCCTTTTTTTTTTCCGTGCTCGGAGGCACGCCTGCCATCCTCCGAGTCAGATGCACCTTTGAGATTGAGACTTAAATTTAGGGGCAGAGTGCAATACATATGGTATGTCCTGGGAGAAAATAAAAATGACACACTTGACAACTATAAATAAAAAAGCTAGTATCATAAGGCAATTCTTGCCTTCCATAAACCATCGTTAACAGCTGTTGACCTCATGGCGTCTACTGTGGAGATGACGTCACCTGGCAGGCAAATGCCACTTGTAAAAGGTCCCGAATATCAAATTAGGTAATAGGTAATGAAAAAAGCAAAATGGGAAGTTGAATATAAGGAACTGTAAGCCTTCCCGCCGCCATTTCACTTACTTAAGTTTTTAGGCCAACGAAGGGGACATTCCTGAAAAGGCCCTTTGGAGGACAAAGTGAATGATGAAATAGATGAGAAGACTGAAAACTCCACTGGACTGAATTACCCATTCTGCCATATGCAATGAGAGGGGAGAGCATTGCTTATAAGAGTATAAGAGTAACTTATTTTAAAAAATAAGTTTAAAGTAACCAATTATGAGTAACCAATTTTTTTTAAAAAAAATGATCTTTGAAGAAATGAGATGGGACATAGGAAGTCTGCAGCTAAAGGAAACCTGCATGTTAAGGCGGATGTGGCTGTGGTCTGGATATGACGCACTCTCTAAACCATCCACATCTCTTTTTAGCCAGTTTATTCTTTTTTTCTATATGCACCCTGTAATCCAGGTTCATAGAAGGGCTTCCACAAGTTCTACAGCTGTTAAGTGATTTTACATATAGGGTTGCATCCTGTGATGCACAGATAGACCATATGAAAAGGATACAGACAAAATCCTATACCCCCATTCTACCTGCTAATCAAGCAGGATGGTCATCTGCTGTGTTTTGAAAGAAGTAAAATACTCCAGTAGAACTAGTTAACTGCACGCACCATCTCTGAAAATCAAGAACCTCTAAAAAAGTATTTGTTTTAAAATTGAAAAATATCTCTACCTTTGTTTTTTCAAAGTTTGTACCTTGTTAATTTTCAGTGGTCCAGTTTTGCTTCTAAACTAATGAACATTCAGTTATCCAAATACAACTTGCAAACTTATCCTAATGTTGTTACAAAAGTGTTCCAAATTGGGACTTAATGATTTATGAATTTCTTTATATAAAACATTTATATCATATACATTTCAGCCAAAAAGGCTCCTACTATGGTTTACAGATAAATAACAACCGCAAAAGATGACTTTTATCTTCAGATCAAAAATAAAGAAAGAATATCTCAAAACCAATTCTGAAGACTACAAATACTTGAAAATAGCCCAAGTACTTTTAGATCATATGTGGAGAAAATTCAATTCCAAACACAGTTAACTTCCCAAAGCCTGGTGTTAACTTTGATTCCCCTCTGTGAGTCATATTCTATTACTTCTTTTCCATCTCTCTGAGCTACTTTGGAGTTTTATCCTTTTTGATATATTACTATTAAAATTGTATTTTTGCCAACTATGGACTTCCTTTTGGAAAATTCTGTTCTTATTTAAATAGATTCAGAGAAGAAAAGACAGAGAACTGACATAACAACTGCTACAGAAAACTGACATAAAAAGCTATAATGTGCCCTATTTTACATCCACCCATTCAACGCTTCATATTTACTCTATATCTTTTCATTACAGCAAAAGATTAGGATCAACCTTCTTCACAGTCTAGAAACAAGCTACAAACTGTAGAATCTCAGGCTTCTGTCCATGCCTGCAAAATCAAGGAATTTAATGTGGTGCCCAAAGGCTACTCCCACAGAGCCTACTATGCTTTGTGAAGTGAAGAACTTTTATCCATTGCTTACAGATGAATGCTTACACATCAATACCACCCATGGCTAGATACGTATCACTATGATTAAGTCATTATCCAGCAGCAGTGTTTTCAAATTCTTCAGCTTCACAAAATTCTTTAGGAGATCCCAGAGTTGACCAAGGAGTCAGCGCCAGTGGCCAAATAGTAGCCAGTTTCAGATAAGAGAATCCTAGTAATGGGACCGGAGTGTCCAGGGACATTTGTTACATTAGTCTGTTCCTTTAAATCCAAAATCTTAATCAGGGAGTCCATCATTCTTGTCTCCAAAATAACCCCGTTAGGGTGAAACGCAGCACAGAAGAGAGCACAGCAATCAGTTTCATCTTGGTGAGAATGTGGCCAGAGAAATGTCAGAGAAAGCCCAATACTGGTCATCAGAAGAACTCAGAAGATTATTGTCAGTTGCATGAAGATTCAGTCCTGTAACAGCACTTTCATAGGCTCACACACCCAATACAGAAACAAGCAAATTATTTGTTCTTTTCATTAAACATGTTAACTTTAAAATATTTCTGCATTAGAAAAATAATTGACAGATTGCATTGTCTGAATTTAATATTTTAGGATTGCCACTTCAATTAACATTGAAATTGTACATTGGACAAATTTTAGAGTGCAATTAATTACATGATTAGTTAAAAATAAAACTTATCTTGTTCAATAAGTTTTATTTCCAGGAAATAACTCATAGAGTTGCTGGCTTGATTAATAACATTTATATGTAAATAGTTTTGATTGATGTGTTTTTATTCAGAATGGGCACATGTTTATATGAAATAAAAATGGAAGTGCATTCTCTAGGTTAGAGTCTGCCACATTTACATTTAAAATAAAATTAGAAGTACATTTCAATTCTTTAAAAGGTTTAAATCAATTAATCTAGGTAATTAATAGACCAAAATACTGGAGGCCTAGTTATTTTATTTAAATTATTTTAAGTGTACCATAATTAGGACCATATCCACCCTTGCATTTTACACATCTTTACGTAGCTTGAAATTTTAGCTCTTCAAAAATAGGTCAGTAAAATTAATAATTGAATTCTGAATTCCACTGCTCTATAAAAACTATTTTTCCATCTGGTCTGGATATAGGACTTATTCAGCCCCTTCATTTTTATCTATAAAGCTCTAACTAAAAAATTGGTTCTATCCCCACTTGCTTGATGTACCTTAAAATTTTCAGAAGCCTTTCTTAGAGTAGCATCTTTCAAAGGAACTTTAACAGCAACTTCTTACAGTAGTGATGCCTGAAAACCTTGGCTGGTACTTATTCTTTTTTGCAGTGACAGATAAAAAAAAATATTTAGGCAGCTGTTCAAATTTCACTTAAGATTTTCAATTTGTTTATATAACTTGTTCTATGTTTCCTTTCTTTTTAACTGTCCAGAAGAAATTGTTAATCCATTGACATATCAGTTTTCAATACGTTTTAGACATATTAAAATATTTAGCAGATCTTGAACTAAATTCAGCATTATGTAATAAGCACATAGCAAGTGGTTTTTGTGGAATGTTTATGATTACAGAAACCATCACATTTTACACTGCAGTTCTATCTTAAATGACCTTCACTTTAAATTCTCTTGACGGCAAATATGTTTTTCACTATCTCTGTCTAGAATCTTCAGATGGATCCACCCACAGAGTTAGTTACACATTTCTGACAAGGTGAACCTACGCACCTGTTTAATTGTAATTATAATTCCATGTCATTTTGCCAAACAAAGCAAAAGAACTTCAACACCTATAACAGCTTCACCAGATTAGGATTCAGAATACGTTCGGCACGGAATGAAAAGAAAAGCGTTCCGAGCATACCAAATATACAAGATGAAAATTAAAAGATGGCTCCAATTAAGATGTTTTGCATTCTTATGAGATATAGTTTCAGAATGCAGGAGGACAGCAGTTATGTGCCTCCTTGGTGTACTATGTCTCCTCTATAGAGCCTTGTGGAGCCAGAAATGTTCCTTGCTGTGATCTTCTAAAAGCCAAACATACCAAGAAGTTGAGAGACCAGGCAATTTTAATTGGAATCTCAAAGACTTCAAGATTAAAATAAGAGGAAGATGGAACTGCTACAATAGAAAGATAAGGGTAATGGCTAGACAAGGTCATAAATCTTCATGAGATATATGCTATTATTTACCACCATTTCACATAATTGTTGAATATTTATTATACTTTTCCCTTTTTCAGTACAGTACAGTGGCATTTACATAATTTTAAAGTACTGAAAATAGAAAAGATAATAGCAATAGCATTTAGACTTACATACTGTTTCACGGGGCTTTACAGCCCTCTCTAAGCAGTTTACAGAGTCAGCATATCGCCCCCAATAATTTGGGTCCTCATTTTACCCACCTCGGAAGGATGGAAGGCTGAGTCAACCTAGAGCCTGGTGAGATTTGAGTTGCCAAATTGCAGGCAGCCAGCAGTCAGCAGAAGTAACCTGCACTTCTGCACTCTAACCATTGCGCCATCATTGCTCCTAATAAAATAAGATACTCTTATCAAAATGATATACAATTTAGGATATCAATATTACAACCATTAAAATTACAGGGTTTTCCCATTCAAACGAGTATAATATCATATTTTTGTGCTCCCCCAATCATGAGTTTTGAACCAAAAACAGCCTTCCTTGTGATTGATAGAAAAGCATAATTCTAGATGACTATATCTGTGTTAAAACCATGATTGGTAGACAAAGAGCTCCAGATTAAGCCTCCAGCACTTCTTTGCGGTATACATATGTGAACCCATATATTCAGAGCCAAGCCAGGATATTTTGATAACTGAAATGAAAGATGCACCCACAGTAAATACTATACATGGCTTTTTAACAATTTCTTCCCATAAACATCACTACTTTAGTCGCAAAGATGCTTTCTGAACTGGCTATTGTTTGCTAAACTTTGATTTGTACTTTATTGTTAACTTCATGTGATAAGTTTAAATGACTGGTCAATTGGTAGGTACTTTGATCTTACATATAGAAGTAGGCTTGGAGAAGTTTTAAAATAAATAAATTAATATTTAAATAGTGAAAGATTGCCATCCATATGCATGAAAAAAAGACTGTGCCCAGAACTTTTCTGTTATCCGTAGCATGTTTATAGATATTTTTTTTTCATTTTGTTTATGGTCTTAATATTTGTTTAGCAAATTTATATAACTGCCCATCTCACTAAAGTGACCCTGGGCAGCACACAATAAACACAGAACAATTAAAAATAAAACTTTAGATTAAGCAATCTAAACAATGATTAAACAATTAAAATATAAAAATAAGTAAAACCATTGGAGAGTGCCTTCAAGATCTTACATACGATACAGTATAGATATTTTGTGGGCTCCCGCTTCCATGGATCTGATAAAACCTGCTGATAAAACTACAAAACTACATAATAAGAGCGCTCTTTGTAATTTGTCAGTGGTTTAATACACACACACACACACACACACACACTGAAGTAGCAAGAAGACACTGTTCTTATATATAATACATTTGCATAAATTATAAAGTACACGAAGCACAAACTAAATATGTTCATATATTCATCAGTACTTTTAGAAAAAGTTATATACCAGAGTGGCAGCTGATCATTTTTTCTATCTAGTTATTTTGCCATCTTTAAACTTAATATGCTTAGTTTGCATATCAAGCTAATCTAAGAGCCATACTTATTCTCTTTAAAAAGCCTAAGAACAGCCATACTGATTCAAAGAAAAACACCATCTAGTCCAGAATTTGGTTCCCATAGTGACCCTCCAGACATGCAACAGGATATGCATTCATTCATTTACATGCTGAAGCAGCAGCAGGAAAGCTCCACGGAGTATCACTACTGGAAGAGAGGCAGCTATGGCTAATAAATCTCTACAAATACCCTTCCAGTATTTCTGTCCTAAGCGAATGCTGTAAGTTCTTTAACACTAGATCCTAGCTGCTGGAGTTCAGCCTCTGATTGGCTGATCCAGATCTTCGTTTAGGGACATTTTGTTTTCCAGCCAGGGATCCTGTACCCATTCTGCAGACAGACCCGATCTAACAAAATCATGATTGCTATATATCCATGAAGGCGAACCTATGGCACGCATGCCGGAAGTTGCATGCAGAGCCATTTCTTCCGGCACACCAGCTGTTGCCCGTTGCGCTTCCGGGTTCCAGCTGGTCTTTGCACACATGGGAGCACCTGAAACTGGAAGAGCAGCTCCCTGGCGTGCATGCACGGACCGGGAAACTGAGCTTCTGGTTTCAGGTGCACACCAGAAACCGGAAGACCAGGTGATCAATGCGCATGTGCATGCCAGAAACCAGAAGCTCAGCTTCCCAGCGCGCACATGCATACCAGAGAACTGCTCTTCTAGTTTTCGGCACTCCCCCCCACCCGCACGCTCTCATGTCAGCACTCAGTGCCAAAAGGTTTCACCAAAACTGCTATATATTATTGCCAGTAATGGGTTGCTGACTGCATATCTGTCAAATGTCTTCATTCCACCATTGATTACACAAGGAATCACCCAAAATTCTCCTTAGACATCTCATCTGACTCCCAGCTTTTATAGGTCCTGAGCAAGCAGTGTCCATGATATTATTCACTACAATGAATACTCAGCTTCATTTTTGAACTGATGTTTTTCTTTCTCAGACATGCTACCCCTTTTGCTGGTGAAGGCTACCTGATCACTGCCAGTTTGTTCAATAGTAGGAATAGATGTCCACACAATATCTATACTGTATTGTATGTAAGATCTTGATGCAAAGATCAAGGAGGATGGGTATTGAACTCATCCAGCTGCTCAATTGATTTATTAAGGACCAGGTTAATTTGTGTTCCATCGGACATAGCCTTGATCATTTTTGTACCTATCCATAGTATCAGCCTCTCTACTCTTTTGTTTATGGTATCTAATGGCACCTGTGTCTTCAGTCCTGACTCCTCCATGAAAAGATACCAGTGCATGTTGCGTTTGTGAAGTACAGCTCATCCACCTGACACTGAATTCCTATACATTTAGTCAAGCACTTCTCCATTACCCAATCCATCATCATACTAAACAGCAATGATAATAATAAACATTCTTGTCTTGTCTCACTCCTATTTTAACTGTGATGGAACTGGTTTGTCACCATGCTCTTTCACCCTGCAAAGATGAAAAGTAAAATTTGGTATACCCAGTAAAGGTGCATAACAGACAGCATAACTTGGACAAATGTTACTGGGTACACCTTTACAATAGCTTTTCACACAAAGCCCTGGTGGATGATGTTGAAGACACTCTTGAAATCAATGAAGTGTAATAATTTGCTTTCCACATCATGTATACTCCTCAAATGCTTGCATGACAGTGAAAATCTGGTCCACGCAGCATGGCCTAGTCTAAAACAACATTGTTCTTCCTGGGTGAGGGATTCTTTGTTGGCTGTAGGCAGACCTTGTGATAGTTTTGTGTCTTGTCACATTTTTAAAAACAGTTTCCAGTCAAGCACAACCTGTTCCTCTTTCCATGCCATTGAGAATAAATAAATATAATGTACCACTACATTATTGAAGCCCTTCTGTCTTCAATCTCTCTGTCATAATTTGATCAGGTCCTTCAGCTTTGCTGGTTTTAGCTTGTTTAACAACTAAAGCAATCTTAAAGGGTCACACTGGATAATCTAGTGTTTGATGCAGTGCTGTGGATAGATCACAATTTAAATGTAAAATAAAGTCATGTTTCCAGCATTGTAACACTCAGCTGTCATTTTAGCAACTTGCCATGTTACATCGATGGATAGTCCTATTGAGTTGCCTATGCTTGACAGTGTTTTCATGGTTGAAAAGTGTGTCCATTGGTTACCATGCCTAACTGTGATCTCCATCTTTGCAGCTGTGCCATTCCCCAAAGGTCTCTTCCACTTTTCATCTTTTTGCAGATTTGTTTTGTCAGTTCTTTTTTGCCTTTTGTTGCATTTGCAAGCTTAGTCATCCATCTTATATCAAATCAATGCTGTCATCCCTCATCTATTTGTGGCGCCATCTTTTCTCTCTGTGAGTGCAAATCATTTTTGTCACCACATTAATGGGGTTTCTGACTTCAGACTGCTGCTCTTCTATATTTTTACTTGACTTCTTCCTATCAGGTCACAATTTATCAATCTATGCCAGGGGTATCAAACTCAAGGCCCGGGGGCTGGATCTGGCATGCAGGGTTCTTAGATCTGGCCCACGAGGGCACTCTGGAAACAGTGAAGAACCAGCCTGCGGTGCTTCTGCCAGTGAAAACGGAGCTCGGGAGGGCCGCATGAGCTCCGTTTTCACTGGCAGAGGGTTGCAGGAGGCTGTTGCAGCCGAAAACAGAGCTCGGGAGCGTGTTTTTTCTGGCAAAGTGCTTGGACCATCACAGGTATCCCTGACACAAGTGATGTCAAGCTGGCCATGGCCCCCCGGGCCATGCCCACCCCAGCCCCCGGACATCAGATACAACCCTGATGCAGCCCTCAATGAAATTGAGTTTGACACCCCTGATCTATGCATTTAGATTTCTTGCCAAGTTTAAGAGGCCTTTTCGAGGGCTTCATTTATAATAGATCAACAGTTATCATCCCCTAAATGATATAAAATTTATTAATACATAACCATGGCAATATATTGGCAGATACCCCAGCATTGATGGAAAGTATACAATTGGATCTTTTGTTGAAGCCTTGACAGCAACCAGAATGTTACACAGGTTTGATCTACTGGATGCCAATAAAAATTTTGCAACAATGAAGAATACTGTTTAACTCCACTCTTTAACTCCATTCAGAACATCTTAAGTGCCACTCAAGTGGGGAAATTCATGCAATCAAATTGTTGAAATACAACACACAGCTGTTTAAAGTGAGCTGTGATTGCTTGGATCTGGCAAGTAGATTTATGAGAGGTGGGAGGGAGAGAAAGAGAGAGCGGCATCTGCTACATTTTTAATAAGATAAACTGTTGAAATATCATAATGACAATATCAGCTTCTACTATTTCTGCTTAGGCTCCTGTCTAAAGTTAAATTGATGCATTTATAGAATATTTATTGAGTTAGATATCAACAAACATAAAATATTTCTTGTGAAAAGTATATTTTAACAAATAAAAATGAGAAAAATGACATTGTTTCAAATTTTAGCAAAAATCTTTAGTATCTAGCAAATAATTTTGATTTTACAGATTCCTTGAGAGGGTCTTAGAGCACCCTTTCAGAAACCTGTCCTAGTATATCATGGTTTGACAGGGAATTCTGAGGGATGAGGTGAAATGAGAACCTAGAATGACTCTGGAGAAAGACAAAAAATGAAATTAGCCGAGCACAGGTAAAAGCCTTCATTAGGATTTATTTTGTGGCTGTCGGAAACCTATCTCTCTTATGATGTCTGCAAAGACTGGCTAATAGCCCTGTTTTAGGTAACCAAGTCTCTTCTGGGTGTGGAGGAGCTGGGAGATCACATGCAGGACCACTGTGAGGAATTATTGTTAGTATCTGTTAAACAAAGTCCTTCGACTTCTCTCAGAGTTGGACTTTGGCTGGGCAGGTCCTTTGAAAAAGTCTTAGTCATTTCTTTTCATCCTCTCTTCTACAGTTGGATCCATAACAGAAGTTTCCTTGATAGTTAGAATATTGTTGATTACATCCAGTGGTGGGATTCAGCCACTTCGAGCCGGTTCAGGTGAACAGGTTGTTAAATTGCTGGCTGGTCCTGCTCCTTCCAGAAATCCCCATGCGCCCCGTTTTGGCTCCCAGGTAAGTGCAGGGAGGCCTACTAAGCCCAAAACAGTGTGTGTGGGGTGCAGCACAGCCCCCCTCCCCCCGTGGCCCGTTTTTGCTCCCAGGAGGCAGCAGGGAGGCCTACTAGGCCCAAAAATTATTTGAATCCCACCACTGTTTACATCCAATGAAATAAAGAGCACTTTCCCAGGTAGTTACATGCTGAGCTTCTTCTCTGGACCTCTTACCTTGTACCATGTAAATACCCTGGAGATATATTTAATGATGCAGTATACTTATAAAAAAGAGCCAGTTTGTGTAGTGCTTAAGGCATCAGGCTATAATCTGAGACATTGTGAGTTCTAGTCCTGCCTTAGGCAGAAAGCCAGCTTGGGCTAGTCATTTTGGTCACAGCCCTAGGTCTTCTGGAAAAAAAAAAAATCCCTTCCAGCTATCTTATTTTGCTAAAAAAAACTTGCAAAGAAAATTTCAGGGACTTGTCCAAGCAGTCTCCAACAAATGGACATACCAGTAACTGAACCAAAGGAAAAAAACTTATTAAAAAGCAAGCAAAGAAAACTGTCATGGGTTCTTTTTTTAAACCACACCCAATTGAACTGATCCCTACTCAAGAGAGATGCAAAAGCACTGGACTTAGGACAGGTGGTTTCGGTTTGAAGAGGTGTTTTATTTTATAAAAGCAAACATATAAACATGTTATGTGAATGCTTACTATACAGTTCTCTATTCATTTGCTACCCGTGTGCTATTACTATGACAATTACTATACACTATTACTCTTCAGTTACTATATGACAGCATCTATATTACATAGCCTTACTATTCAATATATTATACTCTATTACTATTACCTGCTATTCTATTACAGTTACCTATATAATGTACTCTATAACATTGCTAGTATGTATCATGTCTTTCTAAAGCTGCCTTAAGTTCCCCCTTGAGATTTTTTTTTCCTGTTACCAGCCAATATGTAGATCTCTTGCACTATTTTTATACTGTGCTTTGTCTTATTGGGCTGCTAGATTTCTTTTCCTCTCTTTTGTATGGTCCACTACTGAAGGAAAAAGACCTCCTTTTGATTGGTCTGAACTTTGTGCTGGTGGCTACAGAGTTCCAGAATGGGCATCTCTTCCCTTCTCCTTCCCTCTCCTCCCACACTTGTGTCAAGGTTGCATCTTTATTGACAACTCTGCCTTGGGAGAGGCTGCACTGGGGAAAAGACTCAAAAGTGGAGGAAAAGAAAGCACCACATAGTAGGGCAATTTTTTCAAACTGCCTGCTCTTCCACCATACAGTAAAATAAATGGTGTTTCATTGCAGCCCAAGTGTGTGAAGAGCCAATAATACATTCCTTTGCTTTACTGTCACCTTTAGAAGTCCATTACCTTCTCTGATTATGAGTGCAGATGATATCTCTCTGTGTGTTTGTCATAATCCTCATGCAACAGTGCCGAACACTTTATCCACCTTATTTCCATTTTGTAAATATTATGAATATGATAAATATCCATAATATTTTAAATATTATGAAAAACGATCAAGTGAAGCACAGACTGCAGTGATTATATTAAATGATGATTAGATAAATTAATGGAGGGTAGGTCTATCAACAAAGCTTTTAGAAACGAAGTTCAGAGAGACATTTTTCCTTTGTATATAACAGTTGCTAGAAACAGAAAAAAATAACTTTTCCACTGCTTAAAAACTTTTGAGGAACATGCAGAATGTGGAACCTGTGACTCTTCAGATTCTGTAGAGAATTACTGTAGGGAATTATTGGCTAGCATGAATAATGGTGAGGAATGCTGGGAGATTTAATTAGCAACAAGTTTAAATTGATTGTAAATAGTTTGATTTTTTGTAACAGAGTTGTTGAAGTCTGGAATATTTTACCTGATTCAATTGTTTCAGCTATAACTTTCACAGTTTTAATTCTAATTTAACTTCTGTGGAATCCTATATTTAAGAGATTCCTAAGAGAGAGTGCTTAAGTGCACTAACGTGCCTGTTATTCCTGTCACATTTTAGTTTTTTTCATTTTGTTCATTCAAATTTGTAATTTTTATTTGATGAATAAACAAACAAACATCTGAAGGACCAGATTCACATCTATGATTTTTTTTTCTATGGAGATAGCCCACTACCCTGAGGATTGGATAGTACAGCGGTCCCCAATCTTTATGGCTTGGCAGCTCGGGGTGGGGGGGGAGAGGGG